AAAAAAAAACAGAACACTTCTGCTAGTTTTCATGAACAGACCGAAGCCGAATCAGTATTAGTCGAAACATTAACTACTGAAAATACTGAAGTTCCAGTTCCGAGTATAAATTTGTTTGACTCAAGTACGCCTGACTTAGATTTAGGTGATTTAAACACAGGCCCTAAGCAACCAATATTAAAGGTAAGTGAGATATCAACACAGTGGTATTAAAATAGAAGTTTTTTTTTAGTTTATACTTATTACCTAAGTATATTCTTATTTTTCTATATAAAAACTCCAATTATTTATTTTTAATAATCATGTAAGGTAACTACTTTTTTTCACCAGTTAAGACTTAAGATACAATTAAATTGATGTGTTTACTGTTTAATTTTTCTTAGGTTTATCCAAAAACTAAATTTGGATCTCAAAATAGATCATTTTCTTCAACATACTATAATGATTTTAATTGGATAGAATATAGTATTCAAAAAGATGCTATTTTTTGCTATCCTTGTCGCATATTTGCTGTAACTTCTGGCCACAATGAAGGAACTTTTACTAAAACCGGCTTTAATAATTGGAAAAAGGTAATTTTATACATTTGTGATTTGTTATTTATTTTTTTATTCTTGGTAGTGGAACGTACCTAACTGTAATCAATATATATAATTTAAATATATTCCAGTTAAGTGGAGCCAAAAATGCTAAAACCAAAAATTCTAGGATTCAAAAACATGCATATTCTGAACATCATTTAACTGCTATAGTTAAATGGAATGAATATAAAAAATCATGTCAATCTGATAATAGTATTATTTCCCAATTAACAGCTGCTCATACTGAACAAATTAAACAAAATAGAGAGTATATGAAATGTATAATTGATATTGTTTTACTACTTGGCCACCAAGGCTCTGCTTTTCGAGGCCATCGTGAGAATGATACTTCACATAATAAAGGTAATAAACTAATAAATTATTATATTAAGCTCTAGTTTTTTCTTCAATTATACTTTTTTTGATAATGTTATAATACATTTTAATTTATGTGTTAGGTAATTTCAAAGAATTATGTGAACTCATGTCAAAGTATTATCCAGAATTTAAAAATAAATATTTTAACGATGTGACAAACCACTCTAGTTGGTTAATACAAAATGATCTGATTAACTTTTGTGCTGAAAATGTAAAAAGTACTATCATCAAAGAAATACAAGAAAGTGGAATGTTCAGTATTTCTTGTGATGAAGCTAGGTAATATAAATTAATTTAGCTAAAATAAATAAAAGTATATCATGAATCGATTTCATCATTATATATTTATCAGGTGTCACAAACAAGAACAACTATCAATTTGTATTCGGTACCCAAAACAATTGGAAGTACAAGAAAGATTTTTGTGCTTTGTCGACGTTTCAAGAAGTCAAAATGCTGATGCATTAGTTTCTGTATTACTTAATTTTATCAATTCATCAAATTTAGATAAAGTACCAATAATAGGTCAATCATATGATGGAGCAAATGTGATGTCTGGGTCTAAGAATGGTGTGCAAACAAAGCTAAGAGAAGCTCACCCTCAAGCTAAGAATGCTATCTATGTGCACTGTATGGCACATAGATTGAATTTGGTGGTAGTTGACATGTGTAAACATTTAAAGGTAGAGCTTCGATAAATAAGATTATAATCATAATAGTGGCCAAATTGGTGTTTTAAAATACCTAATAAAATATTTTATTCTCTATAGGATGCAAGGAACTTGTTTAATGGGTTAGAAGCTCTTTATGTTTATTTTTCACGACCCTCTACAAATTTTAAACTTTGTGAAATGCAAAAAGAGCTAGGATTAACTAAAATTACTCTTTCCCAATTAAGTGACACTCGATGGGTCTGTAGATTTAAGAGTTGTGATACTCTTATTAACAATTATAATGCTATTGTCAATGTTTTAACTAATGAAATTGATGAACAGGAGAGTAAAGATGTCGCTCAAGCAATTGGTATGTTTAATTTAAATGTATTTAATAATATTTTAGACCATTCAAGTACACATATTATTGTATTTATAAAAAAAATTATACTTAAATAATAAATAAATAAATTATATTTCAGGCGTTTTGACAACTATAAAAAATTTTAAATTTATTATATATTTGTTTATACTTCATGATGTTCTTAAATTAATAAATATATTGAGTGTACAATTACAATCAAAACTGGCAACATTAGGAAGTTCGGCATGCTTAATAAATGGAGTTAAAGAAACTTTGAAAAAAAATCGCACTCCAGAATACTTTGCAGAATTATGGGAAAAAATTATTAATTTTGCAGAGAATAATGATATTTCCATCAATATTCCCATAGGTAGGTAACTTTAAAATTAACTAATTTTCCACAGAAATTACATGTACAAATTTTCTTCTTCAACAGGTTCTAAAAGACGTAGAACAGAAACAAAAACCCTCAAGGATTACCATGTTACTGTCACAACTGCGGCTGAGAACTCGTTATACGAAGACGATTCGTCAAAGAAAAAATATTGGGAAGAGCATGCTAACTATCCAATATTAGATGCAATTATAGTTAGTTTGAATAGTAGATTTTCAGAGGAGAGTTTAAAAATTTCAATAGCAATTGATGAATTATTTAAATTAAATTTTCAAAAATCATCTTTTCTTATTGATTATTATAAGGTACGTTGTAACTTGTATTTGAGCAATATTTATAAATTATGAATTCTATTTGACAAATACTTTTTTTAAACTACTTTGTTTTTGTTTGTATATTTATGTACACTTTACAGGATACTTTTGATATCTATTCTTCAAACTTAAAATGTGAAATAAATGTAATGAAAAACATGATGAAAGAAGTCAATTTTGAAAATATCAAAAAACATCTAAATGAAGAAGTATTTCCTAATTTATTTAAAATTATGCAAGTGGCAATAACATTACCAGTGAGCTCGGCCACTTGTGAAAGGTCCTTTTCAACTATGAGAAGGATCAACACATATGTCAGAGCTAACATGACTCAGGGCCGATTTACTAATTTAGCAATATTGAATATCGAAAAAGATATTATAGTAGATACTGAAATAATATTAAACACATTTGCTAAATCCAACCGACGAATACAGCTCTAAAAATGTATTGGGCACATTTTTTTAAATAAAAATTTGTTCTATAATTATATTATTTTGTTGTTACTTGTTGCTCTAAAGCCATACATACAGTATTAATAATTCCTATTGTTTTCCTAAAATTTATGTGGTGTATAATGTATAATTATAAATATAATTTTGACAACTATTATAAGTAGATGAAATAGCACATTTGAAAAAAATATTTAGTAAGTTTTATTTTCAGTCAATATTGTAATTAAGTAAGCAATATAAGATATACCTATGTTGTACTAAAAAAAATTTTTAGGTGTTAAATACTTGTATAAATGCTTCATTCAGTACCTAGGGCTTCAGCCCCCCCAAATCTCAAACGCTATTTGCGCCTATGGTATTGGAGATATATATAGCCATTACAAACACGAGACATACCCATCGTTTTATGTGTATTGCGTATGTATTATATTATATAGCATCATTCTGTCG